TATTTACCACCCTGCCTTCTCTCAGCAGGGTTGCTGCGGGTTGGCTGCTCCAAAGGCAACACTTTCCAGTACCTCATTTACAGCTAATGACCTAGAAAATTCTTTCACTACTCCCCTTCTATATCAGCAAAAATAACTAAAAGTAGTTTGCCTTCGTGTGTCAAGGAAAGCAATATATCTTAACTGTCCTGCCTCAGGGCTAAGTCAACTCCTGCTGTCGTAATATAATCTGAAGGAACCTTGTTTGTCTTGCTGTTCTACAGAAAGTCACATGGGTTCATTACCTGGATGATATCATGCTAACTGGATCTAGTGAGCAGAAAGGAGCTTAGATTCTCTGGTAAAACACATGCTTGTCAACAAGCTGGGAAATAATTCCCTGGGAAGTCCAGGGTCCTGATATACTGATGAAGTTCCTGAGGGTCCAGTGGTTTGTTGGAATATCTCCTTCTAAAGGAAGATCGGCCAGGCACAGTGGTTCATGCCTGTAATACCAGCATTTTGGGAGGCCGAGGTAGGAGGATCGCTTGAGCCCAGGAGTTTGAGACCAGCCTAGGCAACATAGCAAGACTCCATCTCTATGGAAAAAAAAAAAAAAAATCCAGGCACAGTGGCAGGTACCTAGAGTCCCAGCTACTCCTCAGGAGTCTGAGGTGAGAGGATTGCTTGAGCCTGGGGGTCAAGGCTGCAGTGAGCTGTGATTGTGCCACTGTACTCCAGCCTGGGTGACAGAGAGAGATCCCTGACTCAGAAAGAAAAAAAACAAACATTAAAAGGAAAAGGGAGAGATCATGCTTACCCCTTGCCCCCCCGGTTATGTAGGAGGCACAATGCTTAGTGGGTTTCTTTGGATTTTAAAGACAACATGAATCATACTTTGATGTGTTCCTCTAACCTCATTACTGGATTATTCACCTGATAAGGCTGACAGTTTTGAGTGGGCACAGAGTGGAAAGGGGTTCTGACAAGTCCAGGCTGCAGCACAAGTAGTCTGACAGCAGACCCAGTGGAGTGGAAGAATCTGTGGCAGACAGAGCTGCTAGATGGGGACCCTGGTAAGACCCAATGCAACCTGAGTAAAGCTGTGACCTCTTCTACTGACAACTGTTTTTCACCTGAAAAGCAGTTCCTGGACTTAGAGGGCCCAGATACAGACTGGGCATCTGACTCTGGGTCACAAATGACTGTGTGATGTGAACTGCACCTGATGACCTGGGCCCACTCAGCAGTGTTCATTGTAAAATGTAAATGTACTCTAGTATCTTTTCCTCACCCAGGACAAAGCTCATGACTGAGATCCCTATAACAAAAGACAGATTAACAAAAGAAAAGCATACACATTTGTTTAATATAAATTTTACATGACATGGGAATCTTCAGAAATGAAGATCAAAAAACAAACAAAAAAACGGGAAAATGTGTATCTTCAGGAACACAGAGGTATAGTTGGAGGACAAAAGGTCTAATCTAATGTCAATAAACTGGGGGGAATTTAGCAAGGCCTGTTTATTCAGATTATTCAAGGCATCTCTGTGTCTTCATTCTTTTCCTCCAGGCACAGGGCAGGACCCCTCTGGAATAAGGACCTTGTGACTTATTTTCAGAAGACACTCGGTCCAGGTTTTATGGCTCTTTTGGGGGACAAAGAGCAAGGAGGAATTCTTTCTAGTTTCTATGACCTCCTTCTACTGTTTCCTCAAATGCCAAGGCGCCATATTTTCAGGTGGCATTTCCTGTACAACATCAGTGTGTATAAGATCAGGCTCTGGCAGATCTGGAAACCACACAGAAACTTCAGGAGCACACTGTGGTGCAGGCTCCCATGGTACCTTTCCCACTGTCTTATTGTTCCTCTCTCAACACATACCCATGGCTTTATGGGGAGTTCCCTGCCCCCACTAAATAGAGGGGGGAAAGGTATGGGTCAGGTTTATTAATGGATCTTCATGTTAAGATGGAACCAGCCAGAAATGATGAGGTGTTGAACTATACCCCACCCAGGAATGGCCTGAAAGAGAGGGGTGAAAGACAATCTTTCCAGTGGGCTTTGGGTGTTAGGTCTGGTTTATTTGCATGGAAGTGAAGACAGTCTGAGCAACGACCCTCTAATCCATAGCCAGTCATTGACAGGCTCACCACGTTAGTCAGCAACTTGGGAAAGAATAAACGGCATATTTGGTGACCCGGAGGGCTGGGGGAGAGGTGTGTGGACTACGCACAGAATGTGAGGATGTTTTTATACCATGTAAATGCCCCCCACAGCATCCGCTGTGAAGGAGCCTCTCATTAATCCTTTTGGTCATTGGGTTGCCCTAACAATGAGCCACAGCCTGGATGGCGTAAACAAAAGACATGTATTTTCCTACAGATCTAGAGGCTGGAAGTCCAAGGTAAGGTGCCATCAGTGTTGGTTTCTTCTGAAGCCTCTCTTCCGGATTTGTAGAGAGTTGCCCTCTCTTCTCCCCACGTGGCCTTTCCTCTGTATGTGTGGAGAGGGAGAGCTCTCTGATGTCTCTTCCACTTCTTATGAGGACATCAATCCTATCAGATTAGGCCTCAACCTTTATGATCTCAATTATCTCCTGTCTCCAAACACAGTCACATAGGGGAATTAGGGCTTCACTATATGCATTTGGGGTCCACAATTCTGTTTCTAACAATAATCATGTGGTCACGATGATCCAATCTGTGGATATCTATCGGTCTCTTTCCCGCACTTCCCATGTACTTGCTTAATTGGTCCATGAACAAAGCAAACGTGGCAGAGACGGATGCTACGCATAGGCTCAGTAGCACACTCTCACCAAGACTGATCTGGCCTCTGCCAGAACTCAAAGTCCAATCGGCCACAGCAGATCAACAGAGACCCTAAAATGGCACCATTCCTTAAAGAGACCCAGCAAAGACATCTGATTGCAGGCAGATAACTTTGGATCCCTTTAATCAGGTAGGAGGCAGAATTAGCCTCACAGAGAAAAATATTTGCTCCAAGTATGGATTTGCTTTTCCTGTCCCCAGCATGTCTGCCAGCACCAAAGTTCATGGACTTAAAGAATGTCTTGTCTATTCCAAATGGTGTCAAAAGTCAAACACCTCCCTGCAGGGACACACTTTTCAGAGGTGGCAATGTGACAGCAGGCTCATAACCATGGAATTCACTAGTTTTATCACGATTCATTCCCTAGAAAAATATGGATTAACTGGGCCGGGTGCGGTGGCTCACGCCTGTAATTCCAGCACTTTGGGAGGCCGAGGTGGGCCGATCACAAGGTCAGGAGTTTGAGACCAGCCTGAACAATATGGTGAAACCCTGTTTCCACTAAAAATACAAAAATTAGCCACGTGTGGTGGTGCACACCTGTAGTCCCAGCTACCTGAGAGGCTGAGGCAGAAGAATCGCTTGAACCCAGGAGACAGAGGTTGCAGTGAGCCAAGATCAAGCCACTGCACTCCAGCCTGGGCGACAGAGTGAGACTCCGTCTCAAACAAAAACAAAAACAAAACTATATATATATATATATGGATTAATTGGATGGCAGAATGGCCTGCTGAAGACACAGATATAGTGACAGCTGAGGGGCAATGCCTGGCAGGGTGGGGTGCTTTCCTACAAGATGTAGTAACTGCCTGAAACCAGAAGCAGCCCATGGTGCCACCTCCCCCATAATCAGATTGCATCAGCTTGGGAACCCAGGGGTCCTTCACACTATTACACTAATTCACCATGGAAAGAATTCTTGCTTTTTGTTTGACCTTGGGCTCAGTGACTGACCTAGAAGAAATACTTCCATCATGGAACACAAAGTTCCATTCCATTGGAAGTTGAAACTGAGTGTGATCCTCAGCCATCTGGGGCTCATCATGCTGCTAAACCAAAAGGCAGAGAAAGTTGCTGATTGTAACTTTATGGTATTATTTAACAAGTTCCTTTGTCCCATTTCCCATAGATTGTTCATGTGGTAAAGATATAATAAACTTATTAAATATTAGTAACAGCCCTAGTAAAAGGCAGAGAAAGCAGTCGCTGTATTGGCTGGCTCCATTGACTAGAAGGAAATTCCCTTGCTGCTACCTGACAGGAGAGACTCATCCAAGAGATTCACTGAGGCATCTCCTATTCTAGCAGTCGGTGGAAAGTGGTGCAACCCAGAGAGGCAGGTTCACCGAGGACTCAGATCACAGATGAAGGTATCGGTCACCCTGCCAAGTAACAAGCCCACTCAGCCCGAAGGAGGTAATGGATGGTGGAAGAAGGAAGCTATGATTATCAGCATGGCCTTTATGACTTGTTCCAGAAATGTGCTCAGTCAGAGTTATGTTTCATTGTAATTATTTTAATTGCCCCCTCACTCCAGTCTCCTTGAATCTCCCCCTCCTTCATACCTTCAATGATGGGCACTGGCAATGGCTACCATTTTAGACTCGAGGTTAGACTATGACTGAATTGAAGTCACCATGCAATGGTACAGCAGTTAATAGGAATTTTGTGGGTGCCCTCTGCTGGGAACATAAATAGTTCACCTGGCAAAAGGATAAGGGTGGATGTTTGAGGGAATCCCATACTGGATAACTTCCATTTGCCCCATCTTTCAGACCAGGGAGGCAGACCATATGGACTGCAGCAATGGGCTCTCTTGTCCTCTGGGTTCTGGTTAGATTCAGCCAACAGAAAACACGGGCAGGAGATCAAAGGGTGGAGAAAAATAAAGTTGAGGTCACTATTTCCAATTCCTCCTTGCTGGGTCACTATGGATTGACTGTGCCCTCTACTAAAAGCTTTTCCCTGGGTTTTGGTAACCATTCTCTCCCTTTGCCCCTCCATCATTCCGTTATTAACTTGGGTATACCACACCATCCCTTGCTACTTTCACAGAACCCTGCCTACACCTTTGTAATAGTACCTTTGGGGTTTTCTGTTGTACTTTTTTTGAGACAGGGTCTCACTCTATCACCCAGGCTGGAGTGCAGTGGCATGATTACAGCTCACTGCAGCCTGGAACTCCTGGGCTCAAGTGATCCTCCTGCCTCAGCCTCCCAAAGAGCTAGGACTACAGGCATAAGCCACTGCACATGGCCTATAATATCGTTAAACTGCCCTTGACTACCCAGTTTGAAGGCATCATCTGCTTCCTGCCAGGAACTCACCAGATACAACCAGGGCCTATGCATGGCCCTGGAGTTAAAAAAATAAAGACGACCTGGTTCCCAACCTCAAGGAATTTGTGCATCTTATAGTTGAAACAATTATGTAGAGAGATACAAAATTCGAATGACATGTAACAAAATGTATAACAGGGGTATATGTGAGGCACGCTGTTCTACCAAGGAGAGTGATCAGCTCTGCTTCCAGATGCAGGTGGGCACGGGGCAACAGGACCACTGTCCCCCGCTCCAAGATGAAAGATTTCAACTGGGTCTTAATGGGTAAGTGGAAAGTTAGGAATGCCTCCTCTTCACATCCTCACAAATTAGTTGGTTCTTTGATTCTCCCAGGTGGCAAAACTAGACAATAGCAAAGAAGAACAAAATTAAATAGTCTACACAAGGAATAAAAAATCTATTTTCAGTTTATATTTTATTAGTAGTAGCTTGCCAGTCAGATGATATGTTAAAATTATCCAGAATAAAAAAAGAATGAGGCCAGGTGCAGTGGCTCTAACCTGAAATCCCAGCACTTTCGGAGGCCAAGGTGGGAGGATCACTTGAGGTCAGGAGTTCAAGACCAGCCTGGCCAGCATGGTGAAACCCCGTTTCTACTAAAAATACAAAAACTAGCCAGGTGTGGTGGCAGACACCTGTAATTCCAGCTACTCAGGAGGCTGAGGCAGGAGAATCACTTGAACCCAGGAGGTGGAGGTTGCAGTGAGCCAAGATCGTGCCACTGTACTCTAACCTGGGTGACAGAGCAAGATTTCTCTCAAAACAAACCAACAAACAAAATAATCAGTAGTTTTTTTGAAACCCTTTTTTACTACTCCTTAAGCACTCTACCAAAGAATTGTCCATATAATTAAAATTCTAGGTGGCTTCAGCAGTGGGCCAGAGATGTAGACCTCTGTATCTAATGCTTTCAGAAAAGAAGGTAGAATACAAAGTTTCAATCTTGCTATGAATGCCTTTATGAATTTCTTTTATGCACATGTGCAAAAGTTGTTGTAGGGTATATATTAGTGAAATTTCTGGGTTACAGGGTATGTGAATGTTTAACTATCCTAGACTCCCAGCCAGATCTAATGGGATCTGGACTAGAGGCTGCCCTTTTACTGAGTGATATAAAATCCATCTCTCCCACTCTCTCCTTTGGACAGATATCAGTGAAAATCGCAGAGTACAGAGCTCCAAAATGTTATGTCTCCACAAAAGCAATGAAAAGCTTGCAAAAATTATCACAATGAACTTTTTCAGAACTTCAGAATGTAATATAAAAGTTACAACAACCAGGGGAAAGCTTAATGATTAAAAAAAAAAAAAAAAAAGCTGAGTTTCAGTAGGAGAGCTTTGTGAATTTTAACTTATCTGGTTACTGTCCCCAACTCCCCAACTCAGCTGCAGAGTTGAAAACTGAAGCCCATTTTTCTGCTGTAGGTTGCTGGTAACAGAGGGACCAATACAGACCTTATACTCAAAGAATTAAAAAATTGTGGTTGTGTCTTGACCCATATGGTAGCTTCCTGAAGGATCTGCTCAAGGGCTTACCTGTATTTTACCTGCCTTGGAGCTTCCCCAGAGTTGAGGCTACTTCCAGGGTGACGTTTGTCAAACAAATTTAAAGGCAAATGTATGAGCTATTGCCACCTGTGGCAAAGGATAACAGTTGCACGAGCAATAGAAAAAACAAAAAGCCTGGGAAAAAAGAGGCTGGAGAAGGGCATACTTCAAGAAAGAAGGGCTTTGAAAAGCTCTCATGTTACTATGGATTGAATGTTAGTCCCTTTCAAAACTCATGTTGAAACTGAGTCCCCAGTATGGCAATATTGACAGGTCAGGCCTTTAAGAGGTGATTGGGTCCTGAGGGCAGAGGTCTCTGGGTTAATCTATTCATGGATTAATGAATTAATGGGTTGATGGGTTAAAGAGTTACTACCACAGGAGTGGGACTGGTGGCTTTATAAGGAGAGGAAGAGACACCTGAGCTAGCACGCTCAGCTCCTTCGCCATGTGATGCCCTGAACCACCTTGGAACTCGGAAGACAAAGTTCCACCAGCACGAGGGCTCTCATCGGAATGAAGGCTCTCACCAGATGTGGCCCCTTGAAGTTGGACTTCTCAGCCTCCGTCACTGTAAGAAATAAATTTCTTTTCTTTATAAATTACACAGTTTCAGGTATTCTGTTACTAGCAACAGAAAATGAATTAAAACACATGTATCAATTTTGGCTTTTGTTGCCATTGCGTTTGGTGTTTCAGACATGAAGTCCTTGCCCATGCCTATGTCCTGAATGGTACTGCCTAGGTTTTCTTCTAGGGTCTTTATTGACAAATGGGATCTAATTAAACTAAAGAGCTTCTGCACAGCAAAAGAAACTACCGTCAGAGTGAACAGGCAACCTACAGAATGGGAGAAAACTTTTGCAATCTATCCATCTGACAAAAAGGGCTAATATCCAGAATCTACAAAGAATTTCAACAAATTTACAAGAAAAAATCAAACAACCCCATCAAAAAGTGGGCAAAGGATATGAATAGACACTTCTCAAAAGAAGACATTTATGCAGCCAACAGACACATGAAAAAATGCTCATCATCACTGGCCATCAGAGAAATGCAAATTAAAACCACAACGAGATACCATCTCATACCAGTTAGAATGGCGATCATTAAAAAGTCAGGAAACAACAGGTGCTGGAGAGGATGTGGAGAAATAGGAACACTTTTACACTGTTGGTGGAACTGTAAACTAGTTCAACCATTGTGGAAGACAGTGTGGTGATTCCTTAAGGATCTAGAACTAGAAATACCATTTGACCCAGCCATCCCACTACTGGGTATATACCCAAAGGATTGTAAATCATGCTGCTATAAAGACACATGCACATGTATGTTTATTGTGGCACTATTCACAATAGCAAAGACTTGGAACCAACCCAAATGTCCATCAATGATAGACTGGATTAAGAAAATGTGGCACATATACATCTTGGAATACTATGCAGCCATATAAAAGGATGAGTTCATGTCCTTTGTAGGGACATGGATGAAGCTGGAAACCATCATTCTGAGCAAACTGGAATACTATGCAGCCATATAAAAGGATGAGTTCATGTCCTTTGTAGGGACATGGATGAAGCTGGAAACCATCATTCTGAGCAAACTATCGCAACGACAGTAAACCAAACACCGCATGTTCTCATTCATAGGTGGGAACTGAACAATGAGAACACTTGGACACAGGGTGGGGAACATCACACAACAGGGCCTGTCGTGGGGCGGGGGAAGAGGGGAGGGATAGCATTAGGAGATACACCTAATGTAAATGACCAGTTAATGGGTCCAGCACACCAACATGGCACATGTATACATATGTAACAAACCTGCATGTTGTGCACATGTACCCTAGAACTTAAAAGATAAAAAAACAAATAAACAAACAAAAAAAAACCATGTATCCCAGGGAACTGGGCCAGGTGCAGTGGCTCATACCTATAATCCCAGCACTTTGGGAGGCCAAGGAGGACTGGTCAGGAGTTTGAGACTAGTCTGGCCAACACGGCAAAACCCCATCTCTACAAAAAATACAAAAATTAGCCTGGCATGGTAGCACATGCCTGTAATCCCAGCTACTTGGGAGGCTGAGAGAATTGCTTGAACCTGGGAGGTGGAAGTTGCAGTGAGCCAAGACTGTGCCACTCTACTCCAGCCTGGGCAACAGAATGAGACTTCATGTCAAAATATACAAATAAAATTTTAAAAAATACAAAATACAAAAATTAGGTGGGTGTGGTGGCACAGGCCTGTAATCCCAGCTACTCAGAAGGCTGAGGCATGAGAATCACTTGAACCTGGGAGGCAGATGTTGCAGTGAGCTGAGATCACACCACTGTACTCCAGCCTAAGTGACAGAGTGATGCTCTGTCTCCAAAAAAAAAAAAAAAAAAAAGAAAAAAAGAGTTTTTAAAAAAGGAGGAGAAAGAGAAAGTGGCAGAGACAGTATTTGAAGAATTAATGGCCAAAACTTCTCAAATGTAATGAAAGACATGACTCCTCACACCCAAGAAGCTCAACAAACTCCAAGTATAGAGAACCAGACAGAGACACATTATAACCAAGCTGTCAAAAGCCAAAGAGAGAATCTTGGAAGCAGCAAGAGAGAGGCAACTCATTATTTACAAGAAATCCTAAATAAAATTAACAATCGATTCCTCATTAGAAACTATGAAAGCCACAGGTAGTGGATGACACATTTAAAGTACTGAAAGAGAAAAAATGTCAACCAAAAACAATTTCTTTCTTTTGAGACAGGGGAGTATAGACTGGAGTGCAGTGGCATGATTTCAACTCACTGCAACCTCTGCTTCCAGGGCTCAAGTGACTCTCCAGCCTCAGCCTCCTGAGTAGCAGGGAGCAGGCACAAGCCACCAATACTGGGCTAATTCTTGTATTTTTTTGTAGAGTTGGGGTTTTGTCATGTTGCCCAGGTTGGTCTCGAACTCCTGAGCTCAAAACAATCCTCCCGCCTCAGCCTCCCAAAGTGCTGGGATTACAAGCCTGAGCCAGCAAGCGGCCAAAAAACTTTTATCTGGCAAAACTATATTCGGTAATGAAATAGAAATTAAGACACTCCCAGATTAACAAAAACTGCAGAAATCCATCACTAGTAGACCAGCCCTACAGGAAATGCTAAAAGGAGTCCTTCAGGCTGACATGAAAGGACAATATACAGTAACTTGAAGCCAAATGAAGACAGAACATCAGTAAAGATATTATAACTACCTAGGTAAATGTATTATAACTACAAAAAACAGTATTACTATATTTTTGCTTTATAACTCCTTGTTTTTTATATGATTTAAAAGACAAGTGCATAAACAACAGTTATAAATATATGTTAATCAGCACATGATGCATGAAGATATAGTTTGTAGCAATAGCAACATAAAGGAGGGATGGAGTTATGTAGGAGCAAAATTCTGTATGCTATTTAAACTAACCTGGTATAAATTCAAACTTGATTGTTATAAATTATAATGTTAACTGTAATCCTCAGGTAATCACTAAGAAAATAACTAAAAAATATAAAGTACAGGAAGGTGGCAGTACCTGTAGTCCCAGTTACTTGAGAGGCTGAGGCAGAAGGATCACTTGAGGCCAGGATTTGAGTAGTTAGCTTTGATCATATCCGTGAATAGCCATTTCACTCTGGGTTGGGCAAGAAAGTGAACCTCCACCTCTAAAACATAGAGGTAAAGCTACATGACCTTGGGTTTGGCAATGGTTTCTTAGTTTGACATAAAAACCACAAGCAACAAAAGAAAAAATAAATAAATTTGGCTGGGAGTGGTGGCTCATGCCCGTAATCCCAGCAATTTAGGAGGCCAACTTAGGGCGATCACTTGAGGTCAGGTGTTCTAGACCAGCCTGGCCAATACGATGAAACCCCGTCTCTACTAAAAATACAAAAATTAGCCAGGTGTGGTGGTGCACATATGTAATCCCAGCTACTCAGGAGGCTGAGGGAGAAGAATTGCTTGAACTTGGGAGGCGGAGGTTGCAGTGAGCCAAGCTTGCACCATGCATTCCAGCCTGGGTAATAGAGCGAAACTTCGTCTCAAAAAAGAAAAGAAAAGAAAAGAAAAAGTAGATAAATTGAGCTTCATCAAAATAAAAACTTTTGTGCATCTAAAGACCCTATCAAAAAAGTGAAAAGACAACCTATGGAATAGGACAAATTATTGGCAAATCATATATCTGATGAGTCTAGTATCTATAATACATGAAGAACCCTTACAATTCAACAAGAAAAAAGACATGCAAACCAAATACAAAATGGGCAAGGGAAATGAATAGATGTTTCTTCAAGTAAGATATTCTAATGGCCAATAAACACATAAAAATATGCTCATCATTAATCATAAGGCAGATGCAAATCAAAATCACAAGATACCACTTTATACCTATTAAGATGGTTATAATTTTCTGCTGTTGTTTTTTGTGTTTTTGTTTTTGAGGATGGTTTAAATTTTTTTTAACTTTTTTTTTTTTTTGAGACAGAGTCTCGCTCTATCGCCCACGCTGGAGTGCAGTGGTGTGATCTCGGCTCACTGAAACTTCCACCTCCCAGGTTCTAGGGATTCTCCTGCCTCAGTCTCCCGAGTAGTTGGACTACAGGCGTGTGCCACCATGCCCAGCTAATTTTTTGAATTTTTAGTAGAGACAGGGTGTTAGCCAGGATGGTTTCGATCTTCTGACCTCATGATCCGCCTGCCTCAGCCTCCCAAAGTGCTGGGATTATGGGTATAAGCCACTGTGCCCGGTCAAAAACGTTTTTTTTTTTTGAGACAGGTCTTGCTCTGTTGCCCAGGCTGGAGTGCAGTGCCATGATCACAACTCACTGCAGCCTTAACCTCCTGGGCTCAAGAGGGTGATCCTGCCACCTCAGACACACACGTATCTGGAACTACAAGTATGCACTACTATGCCTGGATATTTTGGATTTTTTGTAGAGATGGGGTTTCTCCATGTTGCCCAGGATGGCCTTGAACTTCTAGGCTCAAGTGATCCACCTGCCTCAGCCTCCCAAAGCGCTGAGATAACAGGCATGAGCCATCATGCCCAGCCTAAAACATTTTTTAAACCGGAAAATAAGTGTTGGCAAGGATGTAGAAAACTGCAACTCTTGTACATTGCTGATGAGAACGTAAAATGGTGCAGCTGCCGTGGAAAACAGTTTGGTGGTTCCTCAAAAAGTTAAAGAATTACACGTAAGAGTTAGCAATTCCACTCCTAGGTGTTTACCCAACAGAACTGAAAATAGGAACTCAAACTCAAAAAAACACTGCTAAGAATATTGTCATATTCAATATGTCATATTCAATATTGAATATGACAATATTCTTAGCAGTATTATTCACAATAGCCAAAAGGTAGAAATAACCCAAATGCCCATTAACTGATAAGTGGATAAACAAAAGTAGTATGTCCATATAATGGAAGATTATTCAGCCATAAAAAGAATTAAAATTCATCTGGGTGCAGTGGCTCACGCCTGTAATCCCAACACTTTGGGAGGTTGAGGCAGGTAGATCACTTGAGCCCAGAAGTTTGAGACCAGCCTATGGCGAA